GGCCTAGGTGTGCTGTCATTTCAGCTTGGATTGTGTGCTCAAGTGTCTGAGGAAGGGTCACCGGACCCAAAACGATAACTGTTCTTTCCTTCACAGATGCTGCCAGACCTGCTGGGCTTTTCCAGCAACTTTGTTTTTGTGTGTGTGTGTGAGAAGATAGGATGATGTGGGCTCAATCATGATGCGACAACTGCTGAAGTCAGGCAGAATTTTGTGGCCTCCCCACCAGCAGGTTTGTAGACATAGTATATTGTGAAATCCCCTGAGTGGTCTTCTCGCTGCCCTCTCTAGAGTTGTCTGCAATTTTACCACTTTGATAAAAAAAAAGTCACTTCCCACCCATAACCAGGGCAGTTGCTGGGATGACAGTCCTGCAGGACAGTCCTCAGCAGGTATAATGCTGTGACCAGTGGGGAAACATTCACCACCAATTGACTCTTCAGGTGGCCGGGGCAAAACTCTGTCACGTAAAACATCCTACCCCATAGTACTTCCCATCAAAAATATGTCCTAATTAGTCAGTTAAAACTAGGTACTTGCATTTGCTATGCTTTTTATTCCCTTTTACAATGAATGTTCCATCTTGTATTTAGCTAGTTTAGGAATTTGATATTGCAGATGCAAAGAAATTGTTTACACTGGTGCTAGATAAACTCTTGAGGGGAATGTGGAACAAAGGGGCATAACCTCAAATAGAGGTAAGTCTCTCAGAAAAGAAATCACGTTTCACAAAAACCATTGTGGGAACGTTAAACACGCTGTGCTAAAAAGCTGGATTTTGAGTCAATACTGAGGCTGATGGGTTTTTGTTCGATACGGAAATCAAGGAATATGGTGTAAAGGTGAGTAAATATAGAGTTAAGTATAGGACTTGTAGCCTGCTTTTCTCTCCCAAATCTGTGCTGCAGAAGGTGTTTAAAAAACGGCGATGTTGTAATATAATCTAAAAAAATGTTATTTCATACCCTGTAAATGGTCGTACAAGGATTTTATAAAAATATTAACCAAATGGAAAATTTTACCATAAATGGTTACAATTTAATATTGTATTGCAAGCAATACATGTGTGTCCTTATTAACATATGACTAGATAAGGCCATATTTAAAATTTTTGCCAGCACAATATTTCCCCTAGGAAATGTCAGTCAACTAGACAATGTACAGAGTTTGACTCTTTGCAGTACAATAAATACCTAGAGAAAAACAGGGTCCAAAAAAAATCTCAGAATAAATGCACTAGCAAGGAACTTACTTCTTCCAGTATATGACATACTGCATACTTACAGTCACGTCCTGAAACTGCAGACGAATTGTCGGTCCAGAGGGCTGTGACCTGTTGCTGATTTCTAATATGGTTCTCAGCAGCACACCTAGCAAACTGTCTACAAGGGTGTCCACCTCCTCCGAAGCAGTTATTTCCTGAATGATAATAAGATCAATTGCAACAGTTGCCAAATAAATTTACATACAATTCACAGCACAGAAACAGGCCATTGAGGCAAAAAGAGAGTCTTGTCAATATTTATTTTGACAAACCCACATTTCAAGAAGTTGGTTTGTGCAAGCTAGGTTTGTATCTGTAACAATCAATAAAACTGCACACTTGCTGAATGTTGAACAGACTTAGTGAACCTAGCTTTTTCCAATTGCAATTGGAAAAAATCCCAATTGCATTCTGTAGCTTTCAAAGCATTACTTACAATATCATTGTGTGTAAGATGTACTTGATTTAATGAGTTTCCTGCTAATAAATGACATGTACAATAAGAGACTAGACTTTGATGGACACAAAATATAAATGGGGTCCTTTTCCTTCTCCTATGATAAATATATATTAAGCTACATAATGAACAACAGTATCAGCAAATACGATTTAAACACTTGAATTATTTGCAGAAATGGGTTAGTCTAAAATAAAATTGTGAACTTTCAATTAGAAGAAAAATTTTTAACGTTCTGCTTGTTTCTGTTCTGGTCAATGAAGCAGGTCAAACCCTAATTGAGAAATCTCATCACAAAAATGGTATCGTTTTCTTTTCATTAAATAGTGCAGTCCCCCCGACCCCTAAAAAAAATCCACAGCACAGGTATCCTGAATATCAGTTGTTAACTGTTTTTGTTCATAATTTTGATCACTGAACCTGCCAAAGAGTCTGAGGCGTGAAGGAAGCTCACTATTTCCGTACCTTTGCTACACTAGGCAGTGGTTTTGGAGTACTCCATATGACCCTGGATCCCATCTGGAAGAAAGGTGCTGGTGAACATGCAGTTTCCACCATTTGTCGTGGCCAAACCATTGGAAGTCAAAAACTTGACTCCAACTTGGAATTGCAGGTTTGCTCCAGGTCTTTTTCATCCAGAAGGTTGCCTGAAATGCCAAGTTGTATCTATGATAACCCTATGGTGCATCCTGAAAAATTCCACAAATAGTGAAGTTTCAGAATGCCCTGCCACCCAGAGCAAGAGTTGTCTTGTAAGGGACGGATGGAGGCTCCATTCCTAAAAGGCCATTCTGGAAACTGGTCAAAATGACCTGATGCTGTAGGGTCCTGACTTAGGTTGGAGCTAGTTCAATAACTACAACTGTTCTCATCAGAGCAGCCATGTATTTTTGAGGTCCAGTTTAGCAATGGTTATTCTGAAATAAAACCTTGCTTGAAAGATCATTTTTTCATATTCAACAGCCCGGACTCAATAATTACGTAGGACAGTAAATTTATTGCATTAGTCATCTGATTAATACTTAATTACATAACATACAGCAACAGAGAAAACAGCAACCAGTTGAGGCCAACTCCAAAATAAACTTCAAGGTCACTTCAATCATAAGATATCAGCACAGTTTACAGTGCATTATTCTGAATTTAATAAAAATGATTGACCATTGTTTCGGGTATTGCATTTGTGTATTTCTTTGCTGGGGTGGGAACACAGAGATTTTGGGTAAGCAATTAAGTCACATGCGAAAGGAAGCAGTTGCAGTGGGAATGGATTTTCTGGTGATGGTGAATGAAGGGAACAATACAAAGTTGCATTGAGTGAAAAGGGAACAAAGGATAATAGTCATTATTTCTACAGTCAATATATCAGTCAGTTTGTTCTGGACACAATCCAGAGATGAAGGATAATTGGAGAACCTATTCACTGCAAATCAGAGATAACAATGGATTATTGACAGACATTGACTGGGAGGTATTGTGGGATTTATAATTTAAGGCAATGGAATTGTTTAGGCTTGACAGTGCATTACAGATCATAACCGAAATTAAGCTAAATGTAAGAGGGAAAAATTTTGAAGAACACATAACAAGTGAAAGTCTGGTTTATTAATTAACTTCAGTTGCAGTTAATTGCCTTAGAGAATTTGGTGAAAATTCATTGGTTGGTAAGTGATTAAATCAACAGTGAGAGGATAAAGAAATCATTGATTACAATTTAGCTAATTGTCCCAAAGGCATGCTAATCCATGTCCAATGAACCAAGTCTAGACATAAACTAATGAACTCCTTCAAAAGTCAATATGTTGAGATTTCCAGACAGATTCTTCAATGGTATTTGTTCATTTATCTAAATTATTTAAAAATTATCCAGGATGGAAAAGATTGTCCAACAGGCAGTTAAAACATTAGGGGAGTTTTAAATGTGCAGGGTATAAGACAAACCAGTAATGGATTTGACTATTGCCTGAACTGTGCTAAAGTATGATAGTCATTAGGAGAGTTTAAGCCTAAGGTGGGAGAGTCCAAAACTAGAGGGCAGAGGTTTAAGGTGAGGGGAGAAAGATTTAAATGGGACTTGAGGGGGGGGCAACATTTTCACACAGCAGGCGGTATGTATATAGAATGAACTGCCTGAGGAAGTGGTAGATGCAGGTACAGTCACAACATTTAAAAGACATTTGGACTGGTACATGAATAGAAAAGGTTCAGAGGGACATGGGGCAAACACAGGCAGTGGGATTTGTTTGGTTAGAACACCTGTTCAGCATTGATGATTTGGACTGAACGGTCTATTCCCGCAATGTATGACTCTGACTCTATAAGAGGAACCAAGCCAACTCAGAGTCAATACAGGATCAGCTGTGCCAAAATGCTCAGATGAAGTGAGCTGATTTTCTCAAAACTGCACATGCAAGAGATTTTTAGGTCAGGATGGCACCATGCAAAAATAAAACAAATAGGTATCATTCAAGGAAACACTTAAGGGATATAGAGACAGACAAGGGAATGGAATTGCCAAGATTTTTCTAAAGGGTTCTGGAATAGATTTGAAAGGCAATTTGGCTTCCCTGTACCAGTCACTGGGAAAAGTCATAATGGTTAATAAAGTTATACAGTTTTTAAGTAGTAACCAGCGATTGCCACTTCAGTTTTCCCAATGTTTAACTGGAAAAAAGTGCAACTAACTAAGCCTTTCAGGATCTACCTGGAGGACAAGGCTTAAACTACCTAAAAGGTTACTTATCACAAAACACAATTTAAAAGTGAAAACATTACTGAGAATTGCCATTTCAAAGTCTGAGAGCTGTTTGCTTGAAAAGTTTAATCTCTAATCTGATCCTGTCTCTCTGAAATACTCACAGAGCTGTCCTTCTTGATCAGACAAAATGTTGTGCTAAGGATGCGTGCACACATGATTAGATCCTTCTGTTCTTGCAAATGCATGTGGAGATGGTGTAGAACCACAGGTAGGAGAATGCAGCGAGAATCTGGAATAAGATGGTCAACACAGAATGCATCAGTCTCAATGATGGTCATGATAGTATTGCAGCTGAATATTTCAACTATGCCCCCTGAATGCTTTATCTGAACACTTGCTTTGTACTGGTACCAAATTTAGCCACAACTCATGAAAAATCAAGTTATTTCGTCTTCTCTTACTTACTTTATTGGTATGATTTCTTTCCAGGTTGTTTGAAGAAAGACACAATGTAAAGGAATACATGCAAATGGCTAAATTACTCCCGATGATCACCCGTTCTAATTATTGTAATACAGCCATATATAATACAACACAGTTCAGAATCTAGACCTGTATGTTTAAAGAGCCCAGAATACAATGTCAATATTTACATTCTTAATGAGGGACAACACCAAACTAAACCAAAGGGGAAAATTGTTGCATGTCTGGCATGACACCACCAAGGATTTAATTTATTGTCCTCTAACTGATACTATTTGTCTGATAAATCTCAAACCTCTGCTCAGCATAGAAGGAGTGGTACATTCTTGGACGAACTGTATTTCAAGACAGAAATTAAACCATGGTCCAACTTCATCTAAGATGTATATAAAAGATTCCATGACACTATTTTGAAGAGGAGTGGGGAAGATTTCCTGTGTCCAGATCAGTACTTATCCCTCAAACAACATCACTAAAAACAGGTTACCTGGCCATTGTGTCATTGTTTTCTGTGGGAGATTGCTGCACTCATGATTGGTAACCATGTATCCTTCTAACAACAGCGACTACATTTTGCAAATACTTCATTGGCTGTCAAGTAATCAGGATGACCAAAATGAAGTGATTTATAGCTTTTAATTCTCACTTAGACATAACTTAGATCAGGAGTATTTTGATGAATTTGTAGGATTTAAATAACCATCCCTCAGAGAAGAAGCTGTCTGAGAATGTTGCCTTCCTTCTTATAGACTGCTTAATTTTAATAGGCTTGCTATGCTATAAAAGTCCAGATATCTTAAGGACTGGGAATTTTGGTCTCCAGAAAATACACTTCCACACTTCAGGAAATGTGCAAAATGTTGGGCTTCATTTCAGTTGTAACAGAGATCTTAAGTCAGGTGATTTACTAATTTTACAATTTTAGCAACAGAAATTAACAAGCAGTACACTTCACGTGGGTAAGAAATACTGTTGTGCTAAAACGCTGTCATAAGATGTAACACCTAATCTAATGGAATCCAGTTTGATGCTATTTATAACTATTCATGAATAACTAAGAGTAGCTAAGCATAAAATAATGAACAAAATCTAACATTAGACTATCCATCTGCATTTCAAGTTTTACCCCAAAAGCCTTGAATGGAATAAAATATCTATCGAGAAATATTACTTGAAGGTCCCTAGAATTTCTGAAATTTCAGTGAAGGGGTCTTATTTTTCAGAAAGTTGGAGCTCTTCTGCTTTTCAAATGCATGTGTTTACCCTCTGCATTGGTTCTCCCACCTTTCACATAATGCTGTATTATTTTATATTATTTCTTAATTGTTCATTTAAGATTCCTCTATGAAGTCTATCTAGTCAATTTATTTGTCATGTTTTATATTCATGTCTAGATATATTTTTCATCTCACCCTTATATTCAATCTTAAATGAATCCTTTATTAAAAATTTATCAGTAAAGATGTTCCTTTTCTCTTTCTTTATAAGTGTTGCGTTATCCTGGTTTCTAATGGTATTCATGTGACAAGCATCTTTGCTATTCTTGGCAGTTGAATGGTTCGTCTGAGCCAGGAGGCCCGGGTTCAAGTCCCACATGCTGCAGAGGTGTTTAATAATATCTCTGAGCAGATTGATTAGAAAATATAGACAGTTGGATGGTTCTAGCATTCCTCCTGTAATTAACATTTCACTGTCAAGCCCAGGTATGACGTTGCCATACATCTTTCCAGGCCATCTTTACAGTAATTAAACAATTGTTTGTACCTTCTTAATGCTTGTACTGAGTACTAACATGTGCCATCTCCACATCTCCTTCTAGGTATTTCTCTTTCTTGCTAGTTGTGATGGAATTTTTCATGGTTACCTGCTGCATTAATCTTTATCTTTGAATGTTTTTAATATCAACATGTGACCTAATTATTTATACCTATTTCTGAATTAAATTTCTCAATTGTCTTAGGCCTAACCATCTTCAGCTGCTTCATTAATGATCTTCTTTCCATCATGACATTAGGAGTGGGGACGTTCACAAATCACAGCACAATGTTCACCACTGTTCATGATTCCTCAGATACTTAAGCAGTCCACGTCCAAATGCAACAAGTCCTAGGCAATATCCAGACTTGGGCTGAAAAGTGGCAAGTAACATTCACACCACACAAATGTCAGGCAATAGCCATCTCCAATAAAAAATAATCTAACCATTGCCCCTTGACCAGAAACTGAACTGGACTAGCCTCATAAATACAATGGCTACAATAGCAGGTTCAAAGTCTAGGAATGCTGCAGCGAATAACTCATCTCCTGACTCCCCAAAACCTGTCCACTATCTACTGGGCTCAAGTGAGGAGTGTTATTAAATATTATGCACTTACCTGGATAAGTAAACCTCCAATAACACTCAAGAAGCCCATCATCATCCGGGACAAAGCAGCCCATTTGAATGGCACCACATCCACAAGCATCCATTCTGTTCACCATTGGCACTCAGTAGTAGCAGTGTGTACCATCTATAAGATGCACTGCAGAAATTCCACAGCACAGACAGACAGCTTCTTTCAAGCCCAGAACCACTAACATCAAGGAGGAAATGGGCAGTAGATACAAGTGAATACCACATCCTGCAAGTTCCCCACCAAGTCGCTAACCATCCTGATCTGGAAATGTATCATTGTTCCTTCAGTGTCATTGGGTCAAAATCCTCTAATTTTTTCCCTAATTGCATTGTTGGTCTACCTACAGTACATAGAATGGTGCGGTTCAAGGAGGCAGCTCACTACCACCACTTGCTCAAGGGCAACTATGGACAGGTAATAAATAGTAGCCAAGCCAGCAATGCCCACACCCACGAGTGAATAAAAGAACACCTACATTTCTAATCAGATACAGTTATATGAGGTTGTGAAAAGGTGGTTAATTCTAAAACTAGCACTTACATTCCAAACAATCGAATACTTCTCTCAACAGACCTCTAGGAATCAAAGTTCTCCCTTCTGCTCTCTAAATATAATATTATTATTGAATAAAATAAAATCGCCATATTGCAGATGCTGGACATGTGAAATTAAAAATAACACTGGAGAAATTCGGTCAGTCTAGCAGCATCCGTAGACAAAAAGAGTTCAGGTTTCAAGTCTGATGTGACTTTTCAGAATAGAGCTTCACTCTCCACAGATGCTGCCAGACCTGAAGATTATTCAATATATCATCGTTTTTGATTTAGCTAATTATCTCCAAATGTAGGCATCACCACAGCTCTATGAGAAAATAAACACTGGAATTTACATAGTTAATAAATATAAGCAGAGTTACAAAAACAGAAATTGCTGGAAAAACTCAGCAGGTTTAACAGAAACTGCGGAGAGAAAGCAGAGTTATTGCTTCAGATCCAGTGACCCTTCTTCAGAATGCAAAACATTAACTTTATCCTTTGCGAATCCTTCTTGAATTATTTTTGTTTAGCTATCAATGCATTAACATATCTGTTCCCAGTTCAAGCTCTGTTGGGTTTTGAATTTAGTTTATCATAGCATTTATACAGGCTCTAATTTCAGCTGACTAAAATACACAAGGACATTTTCAGCAATTATCACTGTAGCAGCCACCGTGCTTGAAACAACACTTTCATTGGGCACTGCACTGGAAAGCAGAATATTTTTACATTATCAGCAACAACAGAAATTGCTGGAAAAAGCTCAACAGGTCTGGCAGCATCTGTGGAGAGAAATCAGAGTTAATGTTTCAGGTCCAGTAACCCTTCCTCAGGAGTTCAGGTGCACGGTTCTCTGAAAGTGGATTCACAGGTAGACAGGGCAGTGAAGAAGGCTTTCGGCACACTGGCCTTCATCAGTCAGGGTATTGAGTATAGAAGCTGGGAAGTTATAATGCAGTTCTACATGATGTTGGTGAGGCTGCACTTGGAGTACTGTGTCAGTTTTGGTCACCTTGTTATAAGGATGTTATTAAACTGAAAACAGTGCAGAAGAAATTTACAAGGATGTTGCCAGGACTCAAGGGACTGAGTTATAGGGAGAGGTTGGATAGGCAAGGACATTTTTCTTCAGAGCGCAGGAGACTGAAGGTGGGGTCGGGGGGGGGGGGGGGGGGTCTTATAGAAGTGTATAAGATCATGAGAGGCATGGATAGGGTGAAAGCACTCAGTCTTTTTTCCAAGGTTGGGGAATTGAGCACTAGACGGCATCAGTTTCAGGTAAGAGGGGAAAGAATACATGGGAAACTGAGGGCAAACTCTTTTACACAGAGGGTGGTACACTTATGGAATGAGCTGCCAGCTGAAGTGGTTGAGGTGGGTACATTAACAACATTTAAAAAGCAATTGGACAAATACATGGATAGGAAAGATTTAGAAGGATATGGGCCAAGTGCAGGGAAATAAGCTTAGAGTGGAATGACATTTTGGTTGGCACGGACCAGTTTGGGCAAAAGGGCCTGTCTCCGTGCTGTAGGACTCTATAAAGCTGACACTTTTACAGCAAAAAACAAATGGGTTTTAAAAGACCTTTTAAGGGGCAGTAAAGTGGTAGTACAGTTTACTTGTTTTGAGCTGATGGAGTGTTTTATCACTTTAATGTTTCAAGCATAGCCATTAACTATTGCAGACTATAAAACACATCGGTCCAAAGATGTGTTAATGTAGTATCAGCTGAAGTGGTACTGCTCAAGCCTGTGTCAGACAGCACTATTGTAGGACTCTACCTGCAGTGCCCCAGTGTAGGTTTTCCTATTTTATCTCTTAAAGAACTTCAACAGAGTTATGCAGGTAGTAGCCTGCAGTGCCAGTTACTC